CTCCTCTTATATGGTAAGGGCTAGGACGACCACATTTGGTATCTTATCATAACTTAAAGCAAGGTCAGGGTTTGGCCAGGACAATAGGAGGTGTCTGCTTTTCATAAAATAGAAAGGGAGGTCTGTGACAGCATGGACGGTTATACTGCAAAATGATCTCAGGGCACAGCAAACAAGCACACCCCTGCCACTCCGGGCCAGCCCCAGGGAGCAATGCTGCCAGCGGGCTGAGCAGGGTGGCCCCACCACCCTCCTGGGCTGGTCTTGGGGAGCAATGCCACTGGCAGGCTGGCCAGCATGGATCCCTCCAACCTGGGCCAGTCCCAGAGAGCAGCCGCTGGCCACCCTCACCCCCGCCCTAACTCCTGAATCCTCCACCCCTTCCTGTGCCCACCACATCTCCCACCCCCCTGCTCTGAATCTGGCACCCCACCCCCTGCTCTGAGCCTCCCTACCTTCTGCCCTGATTGCAGAACCCCCCACACTCCTAGCCCTGAGCCCCCCACATCCCAAGATCCTGCCTTGGCTCCTGTGCCCCCCACATTCCCAGCACCCTCCCCTGACGGACCTGAGCAATGATGGATAAATCTTCTAGTAATAAGTTTTTGGCATTATATATTTTCAACGTAGAAGTCACAATTAAAGTTTCTCATCCTTTTCATGAAAGAACAATGCTGAAGGTGTCTGACAAGTACATGGAGCATGTAATAAAGATATAGGGATGTCAAGTGTGCTGGAGAAGCATCTTCTCTCAGATACAATTTGCCTCAGGTAATCTCTTACAGTCTGGGCAATCTGCTCTTCTAAACCAGAGAACTGCCTGCAGTGACTCAAAGGTTTTTCAGTTAAAGCTTAAGTAAATCAGGGAAGCCCAATTTCACTCTGTTTTATTTATACACATAAATTTTAATTTACTTTCATTCTGTGGCCCCTTTCACTGCCTGAAATGTATAAAGGGACCTTAGTGTATGAGGGAATCAGACCCAAATACTTTAACATGCTGGATCTGGCAGCTCTCACTCATGTGAGAAAGAGAGGCAGAATCAGGCCACGAATGGAAACCAGTTAAATAGAGATCATCAAACGATACAGAGATCATGCTAAGTTTGGATAGACACCCACAGGTTCTGATTCACATTGAAGGGTACTATCGTCTAAAGCTGATAGGCATACAAAATTGGGTTGGAAGTGTCCTGAGAAGAGACACTCTTTTGACGTATCTGGTGCTGCCTGCTTCCAGCTGATCTAGAATCATAGAACACTCAAGAGCATCTTTCATCCAGAAATCTTAACATATTTTGAAAAAACACCTACAAGATGCACGAGGTGAATATTACCAATGCAATCCTGCAGATGGTGATGATGGTTATGTACTTATATAGCTTTGTCCAAGGGTCTCAAAATGCTTCAGAAACATTACAAGCTTATGCATCATAACCTCCCCATGAGGTTCAACTGGTAAGCATTGTCATTTCAATTTTAGTGACCGAGAGGTTACAATGACAGAGCTAGGGAACAGAAATCAGAAGTTAGTAGCAGAGCAGCTGGATAAAATCCAAGAATCCCAACTCCCAATCCATGGATCTAACTTCTACATAACACTTTGCTCAGATCCCCAAGGTATCTTTGAGGATCTCTAGGCCATCCTGCTTTAGAAGGTTAATATCCCCTAAAAGACCAGTGAATGCATTTTTGCTGGGGCTGAGATCTCTTTGGCACAGCTAAGGGAATGTTTCCTCTCCTACCTGTTACATATGTTCTCACCCACTAGGAAGATGGGGTAGTAGTAGTGAGTAGGTTCCAGGGTTTTTTGCATCACACGACAGAGGTGGCAGTGAACTTGATCACTATGCTTATGCAGAAAGAATTTTTAAAAAATGTAAGTGCAGAAAGAAGGGGTGTGGAGGGTGCTGCAGCACCCACACATTTTCCACCCTATGCCCAGGGGTCAGCCCTGCCACCAGCTCCACTAGTCCCATTCCCTGGCCTCCAGGCAGCCCCTCCAGGATCTCACCAGCCCAATATCCCAGCCACCAGGTAGCCCCTCTGAGGTCTTGCTATCCCCACCGTCTTCAGCACACCTTGGGGTTCTGCTGCCCACTGTTACTATGGGTTCTGCAGCCCAACATCCATGGAATCCAGCCCTCCAGACCTGGAGGCTGCGCTGCCACTCTGGGTCCTGCTGTCCGCCCAGGACTTTGCAGCCACCTCCAGCTGTGGCTGGGTTGCCAACTCTCCCAGATCAGACGCCATTAGCAGCAGAGGTGTCCAGTCCATCCGAGTTGGCAGGTGTAGGTGTGACCCCAGTCTGGGGTGGTGAGGAGTGTGAAAAGGGTGGAGGGGAGGGGATGCAGCTCCACATCCGCACCCTAAAAATAGCTCCAGCACCATTGTTTTTAAACTTTACCTTGCCAAACAGTTTTTACAGCAGCAGGTTACTTGTCAGTTGGTGTCAATTTCACCATTCCTAGCATGTAATTCCTAAGTGTAATTCTTGAATTTAAAAATATGTTTCTCACCCCAAATTTTGGGCAAGTCACAGCAGGTTTGTTTGTTTTGGGTCCTTCTGAAGCGACGCATTACTTTCTGCAAATAATGCAATGGTTTTCTTGGCTTCCGCGGCCAGATAGCTCTGAGTTTCATTAAAGCTGCAGAGCAACAGAGTTACAGCACTAATCAGGCTGAGTGGCCAGTGAAAGGCAGTCATCACATTTTCAAGGGTCTCCGAACTGCATCAGGGTGAATGATATCACTTCCTGAACTCGCTTGCCTGGTATTAAACTAAACAAAAACTCCAGCCGCGCTTACACTCGCACCTCTCCAAAAATGTCAGGCCACACAAAATACCACCAGGGGCTCGGCTGTAACAAAGAACTCCTATATCGAAATCACACAGCACCGAGGCAGGCCAGTGCTCACACAAAGACCCAGGCTCTACTGGGAAGCTCATTCTGCTGAAGAACTGGTTGATGGGGGTGGGCCACAGTTTTCAGCTCATCCTGTTTTGAAGAAATGGAGCTAAGAACATAAGAATGGCCGTACTGGATCAGACCAAAGGTCCATCTAGCCCAGTATCCTGTCTTCTGACAGTGGCCAATGCCAGATGCCCTAGAGGGATCCTCACGTGATTCCTCCCCTGTCACCTACCTCCAGAGAAACAGTGGCTAAGGATACCATTCCTACCCATCCTGGCTGATAGATTCATGGAGGTTAGATTCATCAATGGCTATCTAGCTCGTTTTTTTAACCCTATTAAAGTTCTTGCCTTCACTGCATCCTCTGGCAAGAAGTTCCACTGCTAGATTTGGTGCTGCGTCTCCTGTGAAATGCAGCACATCAAGTCAACCCCAGAGGAGAGGAGGGAAAAGATGGCTCTGGCTTGATTGTGCACTACCCATTTTGAGGAGTGCTTTGAGGGAATCACTGACCTATTCTGTAAGGCAGATAGACACCAAGAATGTTCCAACTAAAAAATACACTGGTTTGATTCTGCAATGGTGGTCTCCATTTACACATTTATATTTACCAAAAATTACCACTGACTGGTATCACAGATGATGCAATTACTGTTTTATCCATGAAAAAACATGGATAATTCTATATATTTTGTTTAGACCCTAAAGTGCCACATGAGTCACTCGATGGCTGTTCTAAGTAAAGGACATACCTATGGATAATACTGGGTAGAGAAGGTGGTAAATGTCAATTGTTAATGAAATTGCACATACAGGATCTATCCATATGGAATCCATTAATACCTCCTGACACTGGTGTCATATTTTAAGTGCAATACTTCATGCAAATCTCAAGAAAAAATGTCCATGTCCTCCCAAAAATATATACGTATGGCATAGTCTTCAAGTTCAGTCACCAGTAGAACTACTCAACAATTTTACATAGAAACATCCTTCCCTCCCCCTCATCCCCACCGTGATGGCTTTTTGAACAAAATAGTAATTCTCAAGATATTGGTATATTCGTGTCAAAATGTTCAGGTTTTCTACCACAAAAATTTAACACAATAACTGCCTTTTGTTTGTGTGTTACTGTAACTCTCGTTTGTTTGCTTGTTCGGGTTTTGTTTTCAAAAGAGCTCAGGACACTGACAATTTTGCCTTACTGAGCATTTGAAAACCTGGGCCTTATCTCCTTGGGTCAGATTGTTAAAGGGATTTAGGCACAGAACAAAGACGTCTCTGAAAACTGATCCAGACAGAAAGCTGCCTGCAGCCATTAAAGCTGCCTCGGATCTAGAATTGATACATGACTGCAAATATTTAAGAATAAAGGAACTTGTTTGACAGAAGTCCTCGCTGCATTAATGTCAAGTACAGGACTCTGCAGTATATATCCAGTCTGAATTACTGTACGAATAATAATTACTGTACAGAAACTGGAAACTATTTCCTCAGCTATGTTGTGAGCCCTCCAGCAGTGTTCACTGGGTTTTGGTTCCAGAAGCCAGCCAAGAGAGCAGTATGCCCACGTAACTCAGCTTTGCATATTGTGTTTATTTAGTAGACATGATTATTTGAACCCCACTGCCTGTGTGGTTCCTTCAGAACTCATTTGTGATATAAAGAGCAAAAGAAACAGGAGTCTAACATCACAGACACAAAATCTCATTCACATGACTTAATATGATTTAGTATTAATAGCAGACTCAGGAAGCAAAGAATTTAGAATTCCAGAAAGACACAGGAAAATGCTACTAAGATCAAAGAAGAAATAGATACAGCTGTGAGAACATTTTCCAAGAAGTAATTACTGCAAAATTCAAGTAGTTCATACACCACAAACGAACCACGGTGCAGAAACCTGCTTGCTATCGTGTCTCAAAAGTATACAAATTCAAGACCTGTTCCAATGCCCGTTGGAGACAAAAGGGAGTTTATCTACTGACTTCAATGGGCTTTGGATCAGTCACTAAGGCAGCACGTCAAAAACATGCAACTGCCATTGGCAAGGAATTCCAAGGTAGTCATTTTAATCACACTCACATGAGAGCAATCAGATGCACGCTTCTGGGCCTGTCAATCACACGCCAGCTGCTGAGCGCTCAGGACTGAATTAGGAATGATGTCTCTGTAGCACTGTGGGTGATCACTGTAAATAAATGAATTGCAGAGAAATGTTTAGGGATGATGATTTTATGATCATGCACACAAAATGTTTTTTTCAAGGAACATTTTTTCTGCTCAGAGAACTATTCTTGGTAGCAAGCTCTATAAAGATTTTAAAAATATAAAAAAAATACAGCAAAGCATTCCAAAAATGACAGACAAAAGCACCTATTGTCAACATTCAGCTAGACTCCGACAACATGAATGACACTGACAACAGAATAATTGAGATGAGCTTTTAATATAAAGTAAACAACTATATAGGATCCTCCCTACAAGTAAAGGAGTTAGGGGAAATGTACAATGGATATCAGGAAACATGCAGAAACAATGATCTCTATTAAAACAGTAGATTAGTGTTCCAGAATGATGGCTGAAGCCCTTGATTTGAAGCATTTAAAACTGAAAGGAACAAAGCCAGAGAACTTACAGCAGAGAGCAATCCTATACTGACAAAGGGAGATAGAGAAAATGACCTATGGAAGGTGTTCAAGGCACAAAGAGTTGAGCCCCCAATGCCTACTGAAAGGCAATGGCATTGGGACACCTAACTCCCCTCTGTGCCTTTGAAAAGCTCTTCCCACATGTATAATTCATTTTCCATCTTGCTTTTTAATCAGCATGTAAGAATAAGAAATTGATAATGAATGTAAGCTTGTTATACATCAACTTCCATCTACATTTCCTACTTGATTGCTGTGGACACAGTGCTTTTTGACTTGCTTTTTGTGGACTTGAGTGCTGTGGACACAGATGCAGTACTGGCACCTCCAGTCAGAGCTCAACAACTTTTCCCCTGGGCTGCGTCTAGACTGGCAAGATTTTGTGCAAAAGCAGCTGATTTTGCGCAAAATCTTGCCGCCTGTCTAGACTGGCCGCAAGTATTTGCACAAGAATACTGACTTCGTACTGTACAAAATCAGTGGTTCTTGCGCAAATATTCCGACGCTCCCGCTCAGGGATAAGCCCTCTTGTACAAGTATTCTTGTGCAAGAGGGCCAGTGTAGACAGACAAGTTAATTTCTTGCACAAGAGAGAGTCTACACTGGCACGGATGCTTTTGCGCAAAAGGAAATCTTTTGCCCAAAGGCACATGCCAGTGTAGAGGCTCTCTTGTGCAAATACTTTTAACGGAAAAACTTTTCCATTAAAACTATTTGTGCAAAATCATGCCAGTCTAGATGCAGCCCTGGAGTTTTTCCCCTGGAGTACCGGCACCTTTTTTTTTGTTTTTTTTGTTTTGCTTTTGTTTACAAAAAAAAGCACTGTATGGACATAAGCATGCATCTAGCAAAGCAGTACTAATAAGACTACTGTGCATCCTGCCACTCTCGTGGCATCATAGAAAATCCCTGTGTTAAATGATCCTGTGCATCTTCAGAGTGCGTGGGCTATTCTCCTATGAATCATGCACCTCCATATGCAGCACAACATCCCAGGCTCATGCAATAAACTAAATCACTGATGAGCAACCAAGACTTGTGAGTGGGCCACATGCGTGGCTCTCTGTGACCGTGGGCTGCATGAATGAAATCCAGTGGTGGGAAATCTGCAGCCGGCAGCCCAGTAGGGTTCAACGTGCAGCCCATGCATGCCCTCTCTTCCTCCTTCCCAACATGCCTCTCATGCACAGGTGTGCTGGAGTCCTGCACTTCCTATGCCTGCTCCTCCTCCCTCCCAGCCCTTTTGGAGCACCATGAATCCACTCTTCAAGCTCTGGGAAGAAGAGAAAGGAGCAGGGACGAAGCACAAGTCAGTAGATGCATGATGCTCAGAAAGTGCTGGGAAGTGTGACGGGGAAGCCGATCCCTGCACTCAATTCAACTGGTCGGCGGGCGCCGACAGCTGGGGAGGACCGAAGGCGGCCATAACGGGGGCCCGGCTAACAGGGGACCGAGCCCCGACGAGTCTCGGCTGCCCGCTGCTGCCCGCAGGTCGAGAGAGTGCTGCTGCCGCCGCGGGCAGCCCAGAGATGATGGCCGGCACAGCCGCCGGCCGGCAGGACTCCAGGAAGGAAGGCCTTAGGACCCAGGAGGGCCCCTCCAGCGCGGTGAACGCAAGAGGGTGGGGCACCGCCCAGGAAGCCCAAAAGGGTGAGCTTGGGAACCAGGAAGACGGGGGAGAGCAGGAGTTGGCTGTGCTCTCAACCCCCGCAGGTGGAGACGAGGTGCGCGGAGGACGGGAGGAGCCCCAAACGGCGGAGCCCCGGACGCCGCAACTGACTCCGGCGGGAGGCTCGACAGGGACGGGCCGATCCCGGCGGCAGCCAGCGCCCCACCC